GCCAGTAGATTACCATTGTTAGGTACAATCAAATTGAGTATGACTCATAGTGACCTGATAAACAACAGATCTGAACCGTGTCCTGTCCTGCGCCATCCACACAATCTCTCACACACGCAAATCCAGTGCTGCAGTCACTGTGTCCAATCTGGTTGAGGGTCTTCCTCTCCTCCACCGTCCCTTCACCTTTCCAAATATGATGTACTGCTCCAAGGAAAAACCTCTCCTAGTAACATGCCCAAAATATGTGAGATGAAGCTTTTTTCCTTTTTTACTCCCAGGAGCACTCTGGCTGCACCTTCTCCAATACATATCTGTTTATTCTTTTGACAGATATGGGGTTCACAGAGTCTCTTCGAGTCGTGCTAGACTCGACGGCAACCAACAACAATGTGAAGTGTTTGCCTCTGATAGTGCTTGAGTACTTAAGAGAAGCAAAACTTTTTGTTGTCAATAATCTAATAAATTATGCAGCAAATTTGGTTTTCACTCAACCAAGAATACATACATATTTTGTTTCATAACGTTTCTTCCACTGCCCACAATATAATTTCCTCTTTCGCGATGTGCTTCCATTTTCTGTTCTCTCTTCCTTCCTAGTGTTTCCCGCCTTCTGCATGGTATCCGTACACAAATGACTGTTTAATCTTTAACAGTCATTTTTCTAAAGATCGAGGACTGTTATAATTCATGTTACAGACCTGCTTATTGTTTGACTGAAAACGAATGATCTTGTAATTCATTCCTTGGTATTTAGAGAAAGGAGCATTTAGTCTTAAATGGATTTTAACTTTTCTTCCTCTTAGTTTACTCATCTCATACCTTAAATGATTTATCAAGTTGATAAATACCCGTTGGTTATGATTTAGAAAATAATCAGCTTCAGTAATTTTCATTTAGTTCAATTAACATTTAGGAAACCTTGAGTCAGACAAGGTCGCGTGCCACTTGTTTTGTTGTGCATAGGGTTACTAGAAGCACCTAATAACAGTAACTCCTGACAGTACTGGACCCCTGTTTACATGACTATTTCTGAGAGAAAAATGAAAAATTATATGACATATACACATTGACATGTAACTTATAAATTTGTCTGTTGGCCTTTAGGCATTTGGAGATATGTTATTTTTATCATGTATGTATTTTATAAGTCAGACATTTATTTTTTTAATATGGCTGAAAATTCTTAGTGATTTCTAAATGCTACAGGTAAACAATAAATATCAGATGTTTCTCACACTGACCTGTGCTAATGAAATCAGATAAGGAGTCGCATTTGACTGGATGTTTGCTACACACTAGAATGGCATTGCTGTTGTGTCAGAGATGACATAATATTTTGTTAATGTAAATTAGATGCTAATAAATTGGAGATTTAAGACAACAAATATGATCTTGTATGGATCCTGTTGGGGAAAATGCTGAGAGACTTAAAAACCAACCAACAAATACCTGATTTTGAATCATGGAACACTTCGAAAACATATACAGACTCCTCCTTAGGACAACCATACATGGAAACTGTCTTTAGTAATTAATATAACATCAGAAATAAATGTCATACAAATTCTATTTGGCTGATATATTTTTTGTTTTTCTTATTATGTAATTAGAAATACTGACAACATTCTGTGTTATACCAGCATTAACAACAAAGAAATGTTTGCAATGTAAAAATATGGTCAGTTTTATATTAATAGATAAGAGTATACTTACCAATTATTGTCTCTCTTTTAAAACTGCCATAATTGAAAGTTATATTGTTATTACTTTTTCTGGTAGAATCTTAGCTGTCCACTAATATTTTCAAAGCTTCACTCTGAAATTTTGCTAATTAAATTTTTAAGGTATAGAATATATGAGCTTAAATTAAGAAAATTTTTAATCTCCAAGTCATTATCTCTTATTAAAACAATTTATAAAGTTGGTTTTGTAAAGAAAATAGTCTTGGAGTGTTTCACATAGTGGCAGAGTTGCGCAAAGAGCTGGAGAGAAGATTTCAAAGGGCAGCTTAAAAAAGCAAAGCAAAGTATTATAATGGCATGCAAAGACATGGAGTTAGAAAACGACAAGAGTTTGTCACTTATCAAGTTGAAAGACCTGAAGAGAAATTCAAGCCTTGTGTTGCTATATGAAAGGGTTCTAAAGAAAAATGAATATATTATACAGAAAGCACCAAATGAAACTGAAAGGAATGAATATACAATCACTGTACCAAAAACAATTGGTTGACATGGAACTTTTTCAGGAAGCAGCATATAAACAAGAACTGATACTATTGCAAGAACTGATACTATTGAAGGAAGACATGCAGGTTGCACTGAAGACATTGGCAGAAACAAGGCTATGGAAATTGATAAAGTGAATAGATGTGTTCCTTCTTGTACACTAAGAAATCTAACTAGAATTGGTCTATAATTGTGCCCATTTCAGTAGAATGTAGAAGTTTGCTACTAGTATCATTGACATCACATGCAAGTAAAACTGCTGAAGATTGTCCAAACATTGCTGGAGTGTTACATCAATAGAGAACTTCTGGAGATTCAAGTCTGATTGAGAACAGGCTATGGAACAAAAGACGATCATTGCTCATATCAGCTGGATCTTGCCTGAAAGCACAGAATACCAGAAAAAAACTGGAGATTGGGGGGGAAAATATGCCTTGAATTGTGGCGTTGGTGGAGAATATTGGGTATGCCATGGATGATAGAAAAGAACAATTTTGTTCTGGAAGAAGTGGCCGAGCTCTCCAAAGGGGCAAATAGACCTTGTCTCACATACTTTAGGCATGTTGTCCGTCTGGGTCAGTCTCATGCCTGGAAATGTGAAGTGTCAGAGGAGGAAAGGAGGAGCTTCAAAGAGATGATTGACCCAATGACCGCAACACTGGGCTCAAGGATATTAGAGATTCTGAGTATAGCACATTATCTGACAAGCTTTTGCTCTGTTGCATATTGTTGTTGTTATGTGCTGTCAAGTCACTATGACTCATAGCGATCCTATGAACAATAGTTCTGAAACTTGCCTTATCCTGAGGCAATCTGACTGTCTCTGCCACACCTGCTTCATTGCCACAGTCACTGGGCTGATCCACCTTATACAGGGTCTTCCTCTCCCGCGCTGTCCCTCCACCCTTCCAAACATGATGTCTTTCTCCCCTTGGACTAGTCCCTCTTGGCAACATGCCCAATGTATGTGAGACAGAGCTTAGAATCCTCGTCTCCAAGGACCAACCTGATTTCACCTTAAGACAGACCTGTTTGTTCCCTTGGGGGTTCATGGAATGTTCAATACTGTTCTCCAGCATCACAACCCAAAGACACTGATTCTTCTTCTGTCATCCTTAGTCATTATCCAGCTCTCTGATGCATAGCAAGTAATTCAGAAGAACATGGCCTGGATCAGGTACATCTTAGTGTTTGGACTGACATCAATACTCCTTAGCACTCTGGAGTGGTTCCCGACAGCAGATTTTCCCAAAGCAACTTGTCTTTTGAGTTCCTGACTGTTGGTGCCAAGAGTGCTGATTGTGAAGCCAAGCAAGTGGAAACTGTTAACAACTTCAATCTCTTCTCCATCTATCATGATTCTTCCAATTGGCTCGATAGTGAGAATCTTTGTTTTCTTGATGTTGAGCTTCAATGCACATTGAAGACTGAAGTCCTTGACCTTCTGTAGCAAATGCTTCATTCAGATCCTCCTCAGTTTCAGTAAGCAAGGATGTGTCATCTATATAATACAAGTTATTGATGAGTTTTCCTTGACTCCTGATGTTACATTCACCATAGAGCCCAGCCTCCCAAATGATCGGTTCTGCATATAGATTGAAAAGGTATGAGAAGGACACATCCCTGACACACTCCAGTTTTTATTTTGAACCATATGGTATCCCTTGGTCTGTTCATACGACTGCTTCCTGGTCTAAGAATAGGTTTCACACAAGTATAATCAAGTATTCTGGGATTTCCATTCTTTTCAATGTTAGCCACAATTTGTTGTGATCCACACAGCCAAATGCCTTTGTATTGTCAATAAAACAGAGATATCCATTCTTCTGGGACTCTTTACATTCAGCCAGCAATGTCTGTTGTACATAAGATCACCACAAGTCAGAGCCTACTCATTGACACCTGACAATTTGCATCAGCTTTTGATTAAGGAGTTTCAGAGATAACTTAATGGGAATAAATCTTGGCAAGATCTGAACTTCCTAAAATAATTTCCTTTCTTTGCACTGTAAAATTAGTGCATATTGTTGTTGTTGTTATTGTTGAAGAATCTGTGCCATCTTCACATTTCTGAACACACTAGAGCCCATTGCAGCAGCCACCACGTCAATCCTCCTGGTCGAGGGTCTTCCTCTTCTTTGCTGACCCGCCCTCCTTCCATGTGTTCTACGGGCTTAATTCTGCATTCTTTTAGTCTTCTCTTGCCAGTTTTCTGAGTCCTGAGAGTATGTGATGTAAGAGCACAAGGACTTTTCTTGAACTCACTAGCACCAGCGAGCACGGTCACTGTTAAAACTGTGTGATTTTAGTGTCAGAAGGAACGAAGTAAGACCAGGTTAATAAACCCACAGAACAAATAATGTGATAATTGATCTGCTCTGCATCAAAATTAAGTTCACTTTTCATCAGTAACTGACTTTTCAAAATGCATAGTTAATAACTTCCGATTAATAGCTTCTTGTCCATCGAGCAATTGGGCATCGTGGGATCAAACATTCAAGTGATTTTTAATGTGTATTGAGCATAGCAATGGTGAATGCGAGGGATGGAATGGTAATTATCAGGAATTTGTCTGAAAAAAGCAAATGCTGCTGATTCTAACCTGTAGATTCAAATATTGTTCATGTTAGAAATAGAATATTAAGGAATTAGTAAATTCATATTATCAAAACAATACCCCTGACTTTGTGTATTTTTTTAATGAAATAAGTTGTTTTGAATGAATAATATTTAAGAGATCTGCTTTTAATTCAACATGAGTTTTCTTTTTAGAGTGTTTCTCCTGGAGGATGGCAGCCTCAAGATTCACAACGTGAGCAGGTCAGATGCGGGGCCGTACACTTGCACAGCCACGAATCAGTTTGGTGTTGCTGCGAGCACGGGCAGCCTCATCGTCAAAGGTATTTTCCACTTGTACTTGATTAACTTTGGACACTTCTGAGCCTCTCATTAACGCCACCACAGTGTCAATCCAGCACCACAGTGCATGCACGTAATATTTCACAGCAAAATGTATTCGTGTTGCATTCCATAAGTGTTAATAACCAGATTCATGTTTCTGGTGGGATTCTGTCAATAATGAGGTAGAGGTAGGGAGCTCTGGTGGCCTAGTGTCAAGAAGCTGCACTGCAATCCCAGAGGTGCGCAGTTCAAATCCACTAGAACCTCTGCTGCAGAAGGAAGGGCAATCTCCTCTTGTACCACTCAGATCCAATTTGATAGCATAACAACAACAACAATAATAATAGTAATACCTGAATATGTAGAGTTAACCAATTCATTTAAAAATGGAAAAGTTTACAAATTTCTTCCTAGGTATGCCATTGATGTTTTTATAAGATCACAGTACAATATTCATGTTGGTTAAATTTTGTTCATTAATTGTTAATTTGTAGCTAGATAGATAGATATGAAATGACAAGGGAGCTCCGGTGGCCTAGTGGTAAGAAACTGTACTGCATGCAATACCAAAGGCATGCAGTTCAAATCCACCAGCTGCTCAGTGGGAGACAGATGGGCAATCTCCTCCCATGTGACTTCCTGTCTCTGAAAACCCACTGGAGGGTCAGCTATGGGTCAGTTCTGACTCAACAGTACACAACAACGGCATATATAAAGAGAGAAATAAGCTGTCATAATCATCACTATTTTTATTAATTTGACTTTTAGTACATAAAAAATGGAATGGTGTATTTTGCATATGATTTCATGCTCAGTTATTTTCACACAGAAAAAGAAATTTATAGAATGGGAGTCTTGTTTGCATAAAAAATGCTTCTTTAAACATACAGCATTCATCTATTACAGTATCTAGATGTTGATGAATACCTAATGAAATATTCTGTTAAGAAACATAGTTTGAGCACGTTTTTTGGACTATTAAGACCACTTTTGTCTTAAAAACAATGGCACCTATGGTATCAAGGAAGTAAAAGTTCACCACCCTAGTTAGATTTTGACTCAGAACACGTTAAAGTCATAGCTGTTGAGTTAGAATATAGTCATAGCTGACCCGCTAATAGGTTTTCAGAGACAGTAAATGAGCCGGAAGAAGATTGCACTTGTGTCTCCTGTGGAATCATTGGTGGATTTGAACTAGCAGAGAGCAGTCCTCTTTTGGTTAGCCTCACAATTCCCCACAGACACCCCAGTTATACAGAGCAAACTTCTACTAAGCTCTGCATATGAGTATGAACATAGTGTGATGCACTCGAGTCAAGTTCTAAGAAATAACTCTCAGTGCTATAGGTGGGTGTTGATTTGCCTTGGGCCATTTTAAAGAACAGCAAAAGCGTGGCAATGAACTACTTTTTTATGGATGTATTTATTTTTTTAATAGAAAAGGGGGAAAAACATCAATTGCCGAATGTAATCATTTGGGCTTAATTAGCCGCTCAATCTGCTTTATGAAAACAGACATTTTTATCATCTGGGAGGTAATGGAATGATAGCAGTAAACTGGCTTCCAGTAAACATATTGCATTTCTGAGCTGAGACTGATGAAAGATAGACAGCAAAGCTGGGGACTTGGCATCTCTTGTGCTCACTGTATCCCTCTGTGATATGTAGGGGCATTTGCACTGATATTAGTTTAAAGATCTTAAAACTAGAGCATGCAGTTTGACCATTCCAAATTGTGAGTCTATCCGTTTACTCCGTCTATGCTGGTCGTACTCTGGCGCCTTGTTGTTGCTGCCAGGCTGGACCCTGTGCTCCTGACAGAACTCCTTACCCTGCTGCATTTCCTGCTCTCCCGTAGCCTTTGTTCTCTTTACAAACTGTTCACTTTAATTCCACGGTATGGTTTCTGTTCTAGCTAGCTGTCCTCGGAACAAAGCCAACACGCGGCAATGATCTGGGTTGTTTTAATCAACAGGAAACTCCTAATCCAGAATAATTCCTAGCATGAACTTGCTTAGGTTCAATAAATATTGACTGAGTGAGACTCTTATCTTTCACCTCTTAGTCGCGGAGCTAAAACCCATCTTGACTCCTTGCTCTACCTCTGGAATCGTTTGGCCCTAAGCTTACAAGAACACTTGGTAGCAAAGGTTGTTGTTGTCGTTGTTATGTGCCATCGAGTCGCCTGCGACTCATAGCGACCCTATATACAACAGCCCTAAACTCCGCTCTGTCCTGTGCCAATCACACTGTCTCTGACACTCCCATCCCAATTATCCCAGTCACTGAATTAATCCACCTCATAGAGGGCCTTCCTCTCCTGCTCTGTCCCTCCACCCTCCCAAGCATGATGTCCCTCTCCAAGGACCGGCCTCAAAGGTAGCAAAGGGAAATGTCATACTTTGAGACCCTTGCCCTTTCTCGATGTTAAGATCTGGTTGTGTCCACTGTTGATCAGAAGACCGCGCGTCTCTGGTATTTTGAATCCACCAACAGCTCCATGTGGAAGAGAGGGGCGGTTTCTTCCTGTTGCAGCTGATAGTCTCAGGCAGTTTGTGGAGAGTTGCTATGTGTTGGGAACAAGTTTCTGGCCGCAAGGATGGGCTATGTGGGGCCTTGGTGGTGGTGTAAGTTAATGTAGGGCTGCTAATGAAAGGTCAATGAGAAAGACCAGGCTGTGTGGTTCTGTGAAGATTTATGTCCTCAAAAACCCAACAGGGCAGTTTTATGAGTCAGATCAGAATTGACTCCATGGCAACTACAACAGCAGGCAGGGTCCTCCATCAGCCCACGGTGAGAAAATCCCAAAGCCTCATGAAGACAATTACTGTCCCAAAGGAAGACTGGCAAGTGTTTGAAAACACATGTGTTCATATGACTGCTACCAACAGGCATGGTTATCAAGTTATTCTCCTCTCTCTATAGAAGAATACTAACCCTGTTGCCTATTATTAATGAGTAGCTTCTGACTCCAATTCCCAGCCACCTAGTTTTGGAAGCAGATCTACATGCGATGCTCACGGGGAGGGCCTTGGCTGGGTGCTGGGCTCAGTCAGTGCCAGGTCAGCAGTGATGTGTCCAACCACTGAGACCCCTTCCTTCTAAATCACACATATGGGAAAGTTTGTTTATCTTTTAATGAATTATTTGCATCTTGTTTTAAAGGTTGGTTGGTTTGGTGGGGTTTTTTTTCATCTTTTAAACTAACCAGTTTCTCTGAAGTGTAAACAGATACAAAGACACCTCTATGTTTTTGCATAAATGCACAAATAAGTAACTACATAAATGCAAAATATGTGCAGAAGGTGAATAAAAGTATCGTTAGAAAAGTTGCTATTTTCAGATATCCGTATTGAAGCGTGTGGTTTGCATGCAAAGAGTGTTCCAGAATCAGTCTATTATTATCATGACCTCATGAACAGACTGTTAATCTCTAATTCCTTTGCAAGGAAGAATTCTGAAGGCATCAATATCAAAGAAATATTTTACAATCTATCAATCTAAAGCCTTAATCTAGAAAAAACAATTGCAATAGTGCAACGATTTTCTTGAGCAGGTTATTTGTGAAAATTGGGGGGGGTGTGTGGTATGTGTGGAGTGTGTATGTGTATGTGTGTGATTTATAATACTCATCTCCTTGTGGCAACAGAACCTAGTATAATTTTGTTCCTCAAGTTAAGATTGTCATGTAGTGACCTTAATGATAATAGGGTGATAGGAGCAAATGAGAAATTTCTGGAAAGGAGATAAAACAATCATCTCTCTTTGAATTTGCTTATCAGCTTCAGTCACGCAAGAAACGTTGTTGTTAGATAACATGTTAAAAGATAATAGTTACAAGAGTTAGATATTTTCCAGCTGATATGGCTTATCTGTGTTAAGAGGATTCTGAAATTATCTGCACTGTGTGTCTGAAATTTCTATTTCACTAATGTGGCAGGAGAAGGCAATTTTCCATTCCAACATTGCAAGTGCAATTAGCAGCAGGCTTGCTAGAGCCTCAAAGATGCCCAGTGCAATCTGAGGACATGTTCCACAGATGCAGACATGAGATAGAACCTAGAGAGAAAGAGAGAGAGGGAGAGGGAGAGAGGGAGGGAGAGAGAGAGAGAGAGAGAGCGCTTAACTGTCTTCATCTGGAGGACTTAGGTTAAAATGACAATGTGTACATACACTAAGAGGTATATGAAAATCACATAAAAGGAGAAATTATTTGATCTGGCGTTTGGAAAATTATTAAAAAGCAGAGTAACAGCAGGCTATAAAAATGATCTTGTTTGCAGGCAACATTTGTTTTGGTTTCCCCACTGGAGAAGTTTTGGATGTTCAATTATAGGCCTCATTGCTTCAGCATTATTTTCAACTGAAATGTCGGAACTTGGAAAAGCATATCTAATGTGCAAATTAAGTTTATTGCTGCTCATTTAGTTGTTTATTCTTCGTGATAGAAGTCTTTATTATACCAGCATACCAGTGGCCTATCCATTTTCTCTTGCTGAATGAGAGTATTCACTAATATGATTCTACATTTACCCAGAGAAATACATAAGACAAATATGTAATTGGAAGCTTTCTGGACTTAAAAGGCAGTTTTAAAGGGTCTCAGGTGTCAAGCCTCGGTTTATCAGGAAACCAAGCTTTATTGAGTAAATCAAAAGTACTATTTTAGAGAAATGACAAGGCATATTGGAATATCTGTCATGTAGTAGGTTTTGAAAGTGTTGGAGAAGTCTCTCAGTATTGCTAAGATCAATCTTAAAATATTCAATTCCACAACATAGTCTTCAACGGAAAAATGCTTTCAACATCTTAATACAAAATATATTCAGCTTAAAAAATTAGTAGCAGCAATTTTCAGGGTGAAAAGATGGATAGTTAAACAATAAAATGGTGAGAGTATTTTTTTCCCCAATGTGCAAACAATGCTGAGCGAACTCTTGAGACTGGAATTTCAGAATCGGTGCAAGTAAAAATGGGAACACAAACAGAACACTTATTG